CTGATTATGATATGTGGGCTATTGACTGACATGACATCATCAACTACTGGAAGTGATTTTAAAAAACCTTTACACGATGTTTTTTTTTATCAATTTGTTTTGGAAAATGTTTTGTATGAATTCTTTCAAGGTTTTTTATTTCCAATTAAAGGCCCCTGAAGGGACATAATGAACATAATTAACAATACATTCTCAATCATAACACATAAACATTTACTAGTGAAAAAGAATCAAATTAAATTTCACAGAAAGTGGCATCTTTTAAAATTGGAAATTAATTATCTAGATTTTCTAAGCGGCGCCAAAAGTTAAGCATTGCATTGGCAACTGAAAAATATGTGGGAAATCTGCCAAGCTCAGAAAAGGAGGCAAAAGTGGAACTTGTTTTCCCACAACCCAAAAACATTTACAGAATTTTACATGCAAAGCTTCACATTTAAGTCTAATGTTAATTTCATCTAACGACAATTCATTTTTTTTTTAAATCTTGTCGTAAAGGGATTAAAGTCACTGTAAATTTCATAACTATGTAATAATGTCAACAAAAATGTGTGATCAAATACATGTAGTAAAATTTTGGGTGAAGGACAATGAGAAAAAAATGCCTTACACAGTTTAGAATAAGCTTTTAGACCCTTCTGATACAGTTCCTTTTGAGCATAGGAGAAAGATCCAGATGAACTAAAAGTAATGCCAAGATATTTACATGTTGCTACACATTTAACAGCTTTTCCATGGTTTTTGAAATTATATTTGAGATGTCTTCCTGCTTTATTGAATATAAGTAATTTTGTTTTTTATATAGTTAAAGTAAGACGCCATTCTTTGCAAATTTTGCCTAAAATCATCGGGTCAGATGTTTGTTTCAGTAGAAAAGGAAGGTCATTAATAAACATTTTGCACAAGTTAGGACTTAGATTGTCCCTTTGCTTAACTTCTTATTTACTTTTAAACAGTTCAGTGCGCGCAGTGCTACTTGTTTTATACAAGATTTAGTTACAGATAACATGTGCCTAACAACATTAGACAAATTTGTATTAACCTCTATTTCTAGAAGTTTGAAAAACAAATAGGCCAGTAGGGTGCACAATAAGTATTTATTACAAAATTGACTATCTGTTGAAATATCGATCCACCAAACTCAACGAACATGTTGTCTATCTAAAAGTCCAGCATTTTGATGATGTCGTTATCGGTACAATAGTTTTTGGAATCAGGTTGGTACATTACAAAGGAAGATTATGCATGACATCAAACAAGAAATTCGTAGAAAAATCTTTGTTGGATGAGACGATATATTCGATCTTTTAATTGATCATGGGGAATATTAGTGCAAAACGTAGAAAAATATGTTTTATATGACTGCAAAATTGTAAAAATTGTGATTAAAGATTTTAAGAATTTTAGGAATCCACATCTGATTGACATCATTGGTTGAATACTGCTCATCACAATATTTCAAAAGTCCATCGTTTACTATAAAAAGATTGATGGTTGGAACGTTAGAAAATGTTTTGTAGAACATCCTGACCACCTCGTTATATATCATTATTTATAATAATTATTGTTAATTTGTGGCATCCTAGATACTCAGCCTTAACGGCAAAACATTGTTTTCTTATAAATGCACTGTGAGATACCATATCTATTCGTCATGACAGAATTGTCATTAGCAATTTAATTTCAAAATGCAAAATAATAATCTGAGTGATTTCAAATGAGCTTGTTAACAATGAATAGGCAAACTATAACAAACTATAACAATGAATGGGTAAACTTATCTATCCTTTAAATAAGCTTATTCTAAAAGGTTACCAATTCAACACTAAAATTAGATCTTTGAAAATTGTTTTTATGTATTAATATTGATTTTGTTATCAGTAAATCAAAATCGAACTAAATATTATTATATATACATGATTATGCACATTCATCGCTCTACACTCTGGCGATACCTGTATCTCGGCATTGCACAAGGTCGTGTTTTTCTCTGACTGTTAATGACGTCTTTAACTAAATCCATTGGATGTTGGATGTGTACTGGTTGATATTTTAGCCTTATTTGCATGATTTTGTTTATTAGTTGTTATTGGCTTTGAACTAGCTGTTAGTAACTGCGGGTAATCTCAGATCTGTACTTAGTGTCTATTTGTTGTTGGGATGTATAATTACCCTGCCACGTCCACTCTGTGCTTTTGTTAGATGTATTTCTGCTTTGTATCCATCTGATGAGTTAAGCCCTTTTCGACTGATTTGTATAGTGTGTTCTTATGTTGTACTGTTACACCACTGTCCCAGGTTAGAATGAGGGCTGGCGCCTTCAAACTAGTTTAACTCTGCCACATTCTCTATGTGCCTGTACCAAGTCAGGAGTCTGTAATTTAGTGGTTGTCGTCTATTGCTATTTGTTATATTTGTTTTTCGTCTATTGTTTTGTATAGTTTTTTCTTGCCTTATGCCATTGCACCATTGTCCCAGGTTAAGGGAAGGGTTTGATGCCAGCAAACTAGTTAAACCCCGCCACATTCTGTATGTATCTGTCCCAAGTCAGGAGCCTGTAATGCAGTGGTTGTCGTTTGTTGCTGTAAATCATATTTGTTTTTCGTTCATTATTTTGTACATAAATCAGATCGTTAATTTTCTCGTTTGAGTTGTTTTGCAGTTGTCATTTCGCGGGGCCTTTTATAACTGACTATGCGGTATGGGTTTTACTCATTGTTGAAGGCCGTACGGTGACCTGTAGTTGTTAATTTCTGTGTCGTTTGGTCTCTTGTGGAGAGTTGTCTCATTGGCAACCATACCAGATCTTCTTATTTTTATATAAAGCTACTATTGGAATTGAGCATTTTATTGGGTTACAAGCAATAATAATTGTTATAAACTTGGAACGTATAATCAAAACAGAAATACTGCAATGTGTACTGCAAATGATGTCACTGGATGCCAATGACCACATCCACAAAACAGACACATTAAATGAAAATAACATTTTCTGGAAATGTCTGGATAAAGCCATGAAACGTTTAAAAGGAAATTAATGTCATTTATAGATGATAAATGATTTAATTATGAAATCACACAATCTTCAACATTAAACTTGTACATTGAATATGTCGGGATACCTCAATAAGCATGATGAGTGAGCACTCCAATGGAACAAATAAGAAAAAATCATCAATATGATTCATTTATTATCTTTTTGTTTCATGTAGAACGCCAACACCTCAACAAAATAACTGTTAAAGCAATTTAAAAACATTTCTTACATCATGGCGAGTTTAAATATTATAGTGATTTGAAGTGGTTATTTATCAATGACTCAACATGGAAAGGTTAATAGGAAGTACACACAATATTGGACAACAGATAATAATGACTATCAACAATTGAACCCTTCGCAAAAAATACCAACAAAAATCAATAACAGAATATTGTAATTGTGTTACGTTGTGTTTGTTTTTCTTATTTGGATCTGTTTCCGGAGTACCTGAGATCACCCTCGTTTTTTAGTTGTGTTTGAGTTGCTTAGTAAAATGTTTTTATGTTGGGTTTAATTGACTGTTGTTTGTCTTTTGGTCGTTTATTTTGCCATGACATATTCAGTTCGTTTTGGACTTATGTGTTTGACTATCTATTTGGTATCCTCCACCTTTCTTGAATTTTATATTTTGTAATGCCAAAAAAAAAAGATGTGGTATGACTACCAATGAGACAAATGGTTTGAATTGGTTTGTATTTATTTGTCATGTCGTAACCTTTCAAAGCTTTCCCTGCCGTATGGGTATTGTTCATTGACTATGTCCGTATGGTAACCGATATGTGCTAAGTGTTACGTCATTCGGTCTCTAGTAGAAAGTTATCTCATTGACAAACATACCACATAGTCTTATTTGTATAGCTTATGTCTTATTTGTATAGCTTATGTCTTATTTGTATAGCTCATGTTTTTTTTCTGTATATGAAAGAAATCTTCATGTTTTCATAATGTGTTTGTCTCTTAGTATTTCCCCAAAATTGTCTAGCCTAGAGACGATCATCACAAGTTTAAATTTGGTATAGACACGGGTGAATTGTACTCCCTCATGCAAAGCTCTATTTCTGTGTCCGGATTTAGCTATACCTTTTTGTCCTTTTTTGGTTTATAGCTTTTCATCTTTTTTATAAGCTTTGGTTTTTCAAATATTTTAGCCTCTAGCATCACTGAAGAGACATTGATTGTCGAAATGCACATCTGGTGCAGACAAATTTATGTTCTTAAGACTATTTTTTTAGATCTAATTTGTTTTCAGTTCCTACCTCATTGACGAATGTCATTAATCTTTTATTCATATAAAGTGTCGTGTTGCTGCATGCAAAGACTTAATAGGACTAACTGTATCAATTGGCAAAATTGAAGCAATCGATCCTAATTTCACATATATCACATATATCATCATGAGTTGTTTGGCCGCCAAGTTATATCTGGTCCAAGGATGATCAAGGATATGTTTCAATTGTCGTAGAGAAAATTCCTTCCTCTTTTCTTTGGTCGTGAAATCACCGAATGAGATCTTATCTCCGAGTTTGGTACTTGCGATAAGCAACGCCGCTGATGCTTCAAGTTAGGCAGGATCTGCTAACACATCCGGAGCACTTGAGATCATCATCGATGTATTGGTGGAGTTTTGTATGCTAGATTTTACCTGGAAAATATCAATTAAAAGTGAACGCCATTGCCGGTTTAAAATTTAGTGATTTAAAATAGTTATTCATTTTGATAACACATGTGAAGTCTTATGAGATTTACCAAAAATAACGTATTAACCACCAAAATTCTAGTACCTGGTGAATATAAATGAACAAACATAGAATAACATGAACGAATATCATATGATTGTTATTTGGAAAATATCACTTCATCACTTCATTTTGTAAATACTTGATCGCATATGAATTTTGTGTTTGATATACATTTAATGTACCATGATGCAATGCAAACCCCAAGTATGTTATATATATATAAATGACACATTTTAACAGGAAGTAACTACATTGTATACAGTATTAGGCCAGGAAAGAATTATGTAAAGGTAAATGACACCATTTTAATATACGCATAAATGGAATTGCTTCTTTTTAAGAACTCCTCTTTTCTGTATTAATAAAATGTAACTGCTACTTTTCTTATTATATCCAGTTTCTGTCGTCCAGTGTGATAGTTACCAATACCTGGAATTTATCATCAAAACATCATGTATAGACTTAGATTATTTTGATCGTGTTGATGTTTATGTATTAGGCTCTTCTATATTTATGTAAGACACACTTGTGACCTTTCAACACAAATAGATACATAACTGCCTCCGGTATTTCTATTCTTATGCATAACAAAACATAATAATGCATTGAAAATGCTTGATAAATGAATAAAATCAAAATAAAATGAAATCCTCGAAATTTCATGGCGCATTAATGTCATCGCAAAACATGACGTCATACTGATGAAAACTCTCGAATATCTCGTTACTTGTACGCTTAAATTTGGATAATATTTCATTAAAATGAAGTTTTTTTAAGTGGGTGTTATTCTATCTTAGATTTTATTGCATTTTTCGAACATTTTGGATTTCAGAAAGTCAATATGGCGGCTTACTCCTGAGTTACGAAATGTCAATGCATTTGATGGTAAATAGTAGGAATGAACAAACACATGTTAATAAAACATTGCTTATGTTTCGGTAAAGAATTATCAGGATTAAACACATTTTTAGAGATTATTGATGTGTAAACTGGATAGCAGACTCGCAAACTTTACATAAAAGTCCGAATCCTTCGGACTTTTATTCTGTTTGTGGGTTTATCGCCCCAGTTCACACATCAATAACCTCTAGTTTACACATCAATAACCTCTAGTTTACACATCAATAACCTCTAGAAAAAATGTATGACTGGTTATATTTGTAATGTTTAAATAACACTTTAAATATTTGAAAAACATTATTATTTTTATAGTCTAACAGTGATATTCAGCATTTTTCATCAAAGTTTTTTGCGCAATGATGTTCTGTCAATTTGTGTTGTTTATCTGCATTAGTTGTGTCAGTTCGTATGTGTTACCGAAACATTGTAATATTACATTAACAAAAAAGTTAGTAAGATGCAACTGCAGCTCAAGGAATTTAACATTTATACCAACAGATTGTCCACCAAACACAACAGATTTATATTTGTCTAATAATAACCTGAACATTATAGCTAGGAAAACTTTTACTAAATATACACAGCTTAGATATTTGGATATAAGTGATTGTAATGTGACCTCAATCGACAAATCAGCTTTTGATAATTTGCCACATTTAAAAGAACTGAGTTTAGTCGATAACCCAATGAAAAGTTTTCAAAGAAACGTATTTGAAGCACTTGATGAGCTCCAAGTACTACATATATCACATGATTTGCTGTCAACGTATCTAAGAGAGTCGTGGTTAGATTTTCTTAATATCACAAAAGTGTTTTGTTATGGTGGGCCGTCAAATGGATCATTTGCGGAAATATTTTCTGTCATGAAAAATCTGAAGTACTTACATAGTGAGATTCAAATTCATGTTTTACGTAACTGTACGTTTCATGCCTTTGAAAAAACGCCATTAAGATATCTAAAGATAAAAGGCAAATTAATGAGGATAGAAACAGATTCTTTTTTGCCTGTAAGATTTCTATCTAGTCTTGTTATTCCAGATGCACGTTTTCTAAAACTATCGAATACTTTGCCAGCTTTGCACGTGTTTGAAAATCGACAAATGAATGAACTGGATTTGAACAATAATTTTAGAGTGCATGGTGAATTCATTATAACAACTGAATTATTTGCATATATCGGTAATATTTGTGTAAAAAAATTATCTTTGACCTTCAATGGTATAAGAATGATAGATGCAGTTGCTTTTCAGAACATGAAATACAAACATTGTCTTGAAAATGTAAACTTAAGTAACAATGACTTTGATTCTCACCAGCTTTACACAATATGGTATTTTAATTTGTTTACACATCTGAAGAGATTAGACATGTCTAATATCAACAATCAATTTAATAAAAATAAAGTAAAGATAGATGGAACAGGACGTACACTTGATAAGACTGATCTAACTGATAACAAATCCTTATACATTATTCCTTCATCAAGTCCTCAAGATATTGTACTATGGTTTCCTTTGCCATTTGAATTCCTAAACATATCCTGTATCGACGTAATAGGGAATTCAATCAACAGCCTTACATTGAAAGGACTCAAACACCTGCAACTGCTTGATTTAGCATACACATCATTGTATGACTGCAACTACACTATTAACGGATTGCAGTACGTGAAAGTACTAAATATATCACACTTCAAATGCAGCCTTTTAAATCATAAATTGCTCCAATCTGGCGTCAATTTGGAGCAGTTGATAATGCAAAGTTCTTCACTAAGTATTGGCCTCAAAGGTGATCATCAAAGTATGTTCCTCCATGGACTCAAACGTTTGAAGCATATCGACTTTGCAAGAAATGCATTTAAAGATCGATTCAGAATATCAACATTTAAAAATCAATTAGACATTTTGCAATCTTTGATACTTGAAGGAAATTTATTCACGAGTATTCCATTACGTGTAGACGACTTTAACCGACTAAGTGTCCTTAACGTCAGAAACAACAAGATAGCCTATTTGACAACCAAGGAAATTGACGCCATTGAAGTGCTCTTTGAAAAATCAAATAGAACAATGACAGTCTTATTAGAGGGAAACCCTCTTGTCTGTAGTTGCATCTCGTTAGATTTTGTAGAATGGTTATTTACTACTAAAGTGAAACTTGACAGCAATGGTAGTTATTCGTGTGTCAAAAAAGATGGATATATTACAACAACAAATGCTGTTTACAATCACTTGCGAATTATACGAATAAGTTGTATCACAACATCATGGGTTATTTTTTCCGTCACATTATTTGCTGTGCTTCTTTTCTTCATTCTAGTTGGATATCGTTACAAGTTACACCTACAATATTTTTGTTTATTTATCGGAATGGCCAATCCACTTTTCCGTAAGTCAAAAGAAGAAGCACTTGAATATGATGCATATGTAGCGTATTGTGATAGTGATTACAAATGGGTATATGGACCTTTGCGCTTATTTCTTGAAGAGAGACGAAATTATAAACTTCTTTTGTCTGATAGAGGCGATGGAGATGTACATCCTGGCCAAAATAGACTTGCCATAAGCAATTCAATTTCAAAATGCAAAAAGATAATCTTAGTGATTTCAAATGAGTTTGTTAACAATGAATGGGCAAACTATGAAGCTAATGTTGGAATTGAACATTTCCTTGGATTACAAGCAAGAATAATTGTTATAAACTTAGAAAGTGTAACCAAAACAGAAATACCGCATTGTGTACTGCATATGATGTCATTGGATGCCAATGACCACATTCGCAAAACAGACACATTAAATGAAAATAACATTTTCTGGAAATGTCTGGATAAAGCAATGAAACGTTGAAAGGAAATTATGCCATTTATGAATAATAATAATGATAACTTTTACATTGAATATGTCTGGATATCCCAATAACTTGGGAATGTAATGAGACAAAAAAGACAAAATCATCAATATGATACATTTATTACCTTTTTGTTTCATTCGGAACACTAACACCTCAGAAAAATAACTGCTAAGGCAATTTTAAAACATTTCTTAAATCATGGCGAGTATAAATATCATAGTGATTTGGAAGTTGTTATTTATTAATGACAAAACATAGAAAGGATACTAGGAAGTTCACAAAATATTGGACAACAGATAAAAATAACCGTCAACAACCAAATCGTTCTGGAAAAAAATACGAATAACAAACATCAACAACAGAATATTATAATTGGTTTCTTTTTGTGTGCTTTTTCTTCTTCGAATTTGGAATTGTTTGCCCTTCCGTGTTGCTTTGTATAAGGTTTTCTTTGTTGGGTTTTGTAGATTGTTGTTTGTCTTTTAGTCATTTGTTTTGACATGTCATTGTCATTTCGTTTTGGACTTGTGTGTTTGACAATCACATCTTGGGCAGGATCTGCTAACATATCCGAAGCATCTGAGATCATCATCCATGTATTGCTGGAGTTTGGTATACTGAGTATTTAGTTTTTAGCTAAAATATTTCAATTCAATATTTACGCCATATAGTTGGTTTAATATTAAGTGATTTGATATGGTTATTCATTTTAAAATACATTTGAAGTTTAATGGGATTTACAAAAAAAACATATTAACCACCAACATCCCAGTGCCCGGCGAATATAAATGAACAAACATAGAAAGAATTAAAAACCAATTGTTCAGAGAACAATTGAAGGTCTTTCCACCCGAAACGATATATTTTGATGTGAAAAATATTAAAACTCGGTTAGAAATGTAATTTTTAGCGCCAAATGAGAGCTTATTATACGCTGAATTTAAAAATATATGGTTTCTATACATTTTTGTGTGAAATAAGGGAGATAATTTGTTACTTCCGGTTTGAAAAAGGCACTTCCGGTATCATTTGATAGTTTACTTGACAACGATTCCAAAAATATATGGTTCTATGTACTTTAACATTAAATATGGACAAGAAATAGCTACTTCCGGTTTACAAAAGGTCATTTGCGGTTAATTTTTTAAAGGTGATATGGCTTGCAACTTAATGCACAAAGAACCATAGCTTTATCAGGCATACATTAAAAGTTCAAGCAAAGGTCAAAATCTAGAACGTCAAATCAAACTTTGACCTTGACCCCAATTTTAAGGTCATGAAACAAGGGCCTCAAATCAAAACACTCTAGGTCTCTACTATATATTGTTAATGAGTTATATTACCATACAGCTAATATTAGATATAAAAGGGGCGAAACTCCCATTAAATGTCTACGTACCCTTTCAACTAAAATTTACGTGTTACGACATGTCGCAACTAACAATTCCGTAAAAATATTTTGTCGATATCTTATACAATCTCTGAAAAAAAGTGATAACAAGCCAAAATCAAAATTTAGAATATGACCTTGACCTTTGACCTTGACCTTATTTTCTTTTTTTTGTGGACCGAGGACCTCAAATAAAAAGACCTCAGGTCTCTATAAGTTATGGTTTTTCAGTAACAAATGCACATCACTTATATCAAATGCATAAGGGGAAATAACTCTCATATGGAGTCTCCGGATAGCTTCGGTCAAAATTTATCAAATCATCCTGAGGATTTAACGAGCATTTTGGTAAAATAAATTAGTCAGTTTCCTTTGCGGTTGGGACGTATAAGTAATAACAAGAAAAACAGTGTTTGGGGAGGTAACTCTTACATGGAAAAGTTTTTGGTTACGCGGTGTCAGTTTCAAAAGCGTATTAACTGTTCGATATCATATACCATTTGTCTAAGCGGCATCTTGCGAAACAAAAAAACAGCGAAGGAAAAAAATTAGGCGGAAGAAAAAAAATAATAATAATAATCAGAAGAAAACCAATAGGTCTTTCCACGGAAAAGTGGAAAGACCTAATTACATGATTGTTATTTGGAAAATATCACTTTCTATTGTGAATGCTTGATGGCATGTGAATTTTGTGTTTGGTATAAATTTATTGTACCATAATGCAATGCAAACAATATGCATTTTTTTGTGTCTATAAATGGCCAAGTTTAACAGGAAGTAACTACATTGCTGCATACAATATAAGGTCAGCGAAGTATTATGTGAAGTTAAAAACGTTCTTTGTTGTTTTTTTGTTTTAAATTCCACTTCCTTAAATCCATATCTAACTCGTTATAATTACCTTATTTATCAAGTAAAAAAGACACCAACAGGTCGAAATAGAGGTAAGATTGATTGACACAATTTTAATCCGCTACTATGGAATTCTTCTATGTTAAGAGCTCCTATATTGTATTAATAAAATATGACCGCATAATCCTCTTATTTCATCTTATTTTCTTTCTGCCCATTGTGATACACTACAAACCATTGAAAGTCTGAAATGGCCTATATTTGTACTCGACTGTACTGATTTTTACTCGACCAGTCTGAATTGGCCTGAAATTTACTTGATTATACTCGACTGTAGTCTGAACCATACTTAACAGTCTGAACTTGTACTCGACCACACTCGACCAGTACTTAACCATTTTATTTGCGTCTGAGCCATGCTCGACCTAGTCTGAACAATGCTCGACCTAGTCTGAACAATTCTCGACCTAGTCTGAACCATACTCGACCTAGTCTGAACCATACTTGACCAAGTCTTAACCAACCTAGACATATTTTTGTATCTATCTATTGTATTTCATCAATTTAGGAACTGTTTTTAACAACAATTTCCCCTAGCTAGAAATTTGAACAACAATTTGAAATTTAAAATGTATTCAATATGGCATTGAAACCAAAATTTTACAATAAACATAATATAAATTCAACACCATATTCATCAACACTTACATATATATCACCTTTAAAATAAAAATAAAACAAGATGATCCAATAATCTCAAAACTGAATTGTGACTTATATTTACAATGTTATTCAAAATTTTTTGAATGTTTCAGATATATTTTATGGTAACTGGACAATTTTCACCATTTACTTAAGCCTTGTATAGATTTATGGTGTCAGTTGAGTTTAGTTAATAATGCAGTGAACATTTTTTTTATTAAAATATATTTAGAATAGTATATGAAGCAACTTAATAAATTTAAAAGATCACACCTTTGTTTTGTAAAACCAAGAATTTAATATAATCATGATAATAGAACTTCCATAACAATCCTTTATAACCATTTAAAAAAGGAAATGTGTTCCAAAGTTGCAGAAAAAAATTATTTCAATTATATTTAAATAACTTTTGTCAAAATTAAAGACATGGCATACAAGAAGAACTTTAATGAGGTTTAATTACCTCAGTACATGTGTGTTTTACAGGTAAAAAGAAAGCCCTATTTTTCTTAAACTCGTGTATTACTTATCTAGTGAATTCAAAAGGCCTTGCGATTTAAGTTTTACAGGATGTTGCCATTTTTTACTGAATGTTAATTAGAAATTAATTCTCTCTGACCAGGTGTGATCTTTTTAATGAGTTTGCCCCAAGCAGGAGGTATTACTTTATACTTTATCACTATTCAGAATTTTTTTTTTATTCATTTCCTTACCTTTTTTATCCCTTTTTGATATATATTATATATATCCCAAATTATAATAAGAATAGATATATTTATAATATAAGTTTAAAGAATTTCAGTGATTTTTTGGCTGTTGTTAACTCATTAAAAAGATAGTTATATAACTATTGTATGTAACTATAAAACCTTTGTAGTTTTTCTTTAGGAATTTAGGAAAATTAAGTTTAAAAAAAAAAAAAACACATGCCAACCAAGAAACACCTTAATAAGGTTTAATTACCAACAGTAAAGGTGTGGTTTTTAGGTAAAAGAATTTTTTGTTTAACAAAACTCTAAAACTTAAAATTAATATAACTAAATTATTATATAAGATAATTTGATTTAACTACTGTATTTGATAAATCTGAGAATAATGTAAGGATAATATATGTTTTTATATATATCTTTATTTTACTGTGGCTGTTATCATTTCAGAAAAAAAGAAATTAATTTTAACAGCTAAAATTAAAAAAAAAGTAGAGGTTATTTGGTCAAGTATGGTTCAGACAGGTCGATTATTGTTCAGACCTTTGGTCGAGTATGGTTTAGACTGATAAAATAGGTCGAGCACAGGTCGAGAATGGGTTAAGACTGTTTCAGACTGGTCGAGTAATAGTTCAGACTATTTTCAATGACAAAGATAAGGGTCAAGTACAAATCAGTACGGTCGAGTATGGTTAAGACTGGGGTCGAGTAATGTCGAGTAAAATTCAGACCAATTCAGACTGGTCGAGTAAAAATCAGTACAGTCGTGTACAGATATAGGCCATTTCAGACTTTTACTGGTTTGTAGTGATAGTTACCAATACCTCGAATTTTTCACCAAAAACATCATTTGTAGTTTTAAATGATTATGAACGTGTAGCTGTTTATGTATTATGCATTTTAATATAAATGTAAGAAATACTTGTGACTTTTCTGGTCCGACAAACAATGGAAGAAACGACTTAAATAAAGGCAACAGTAGTATTCCGCTGTTCAATAGTTATAATTCGATTAAGCAAAAACTAATCTGATTAACAAACAAAAACCGAGAGAAACACATCAACTATACGAGGAAAACAACGGAACAACAGAAACACTGAACTACAACAAAAGGAAACGCCAACATACATAGAAACGTACTGTAGATAACAACTGCCGTATTCCTGACTTGGTACAGGACATTTTAAGAAAAAAAGGTGGGTTGAACCTGATAGTTTCTATGTCTGTCCCGCGTGGTGAAAAAAGATAATCGAACTTTCTAACTTACCTAGATACTGCAGTTTTGTATTTATAGTCTCATATAATATATAAGCCAAACTATTATAGAACTGGTAAACAGATATTACTGAAACTTTATACTGAGTAGACCACTACCTGCAAATGTGGATAACACAACATAATTCCTGTTCTTAATGAAAGTGAATCATGTCTCCTAGATGACTGTCAAACTATTTTCCTTCGTTTCCATTTTTGAAAGTTTTTATAGACATTCATTAATATTTGAAATATGCAAATAGTATTGATAAGCTTGTATTGTAATTACGACTCAATTGATAATTACGTCATGGAAAAGGGGCAAAAACAAATACATTAAAAATGCAAATTTTATTTTTCTAATATACAAAAAGTTTAGATAAACCCATCCTAGATACCAATATGGCCAATGAGATAACTATCCACCAAAGTTTAAATGAATTGCATGTAAGTTTGTCCAATGAATAATGTTACGGTCAAAGTTCACAGTTTGATGAATAGGATTGTGTTTATTCTACTGGTGATGATATTGTCCAGCATCTTAGTAGTTATGTCCAATGACGAATACACCTAATCGTCAATGTTAAGCACGAAAGTACTGTTTATCTATTGTACTGGAATTAGTTAAGTTATATGAGTTTCTATACAAATTTACTGATTAAAACAAAACGTTCTTGTTTTCCAATTCAATATAGTTTTAAATGGTATGATATGATGCAAAAAAAAAAAAATACTGCTAGAAACGTATTCGCTTTAATCTTTGTCAGTGGATGAATCAAACAAGATATGTCATAAAATTTTGAAATGGTTTTCGTAAAAAAAATCCCTGATATTCCTCCGAAATGTTGTAAGGTCATAATAACAGTTTAGGAAGTTCTTAAAAAATAATACTGCATCCACTTCTTATAACTCTTGAAATGTAATTGCTCGTCTCAATGTCTCTTCGTTTTGTGATAACATCCAAGTCTCCCTTTGCTTTCAGCCTGGAGTTGTTGCTGTTGAGGGTAGTCCAATCAGTCACAAATTATTTTATAATGTCGAAAGTTTCTTCCTAGCCTTCATTCTGATAGGAAACGTCCTCAAAACGTAACAAATCTGTTGACAATCAAGAAATCAAGCATTTTGCAATGTCAGTTTCAGAGAATTTTATTTGAATCGGAGTGATTTTTTACAAAGTACTATTTATCTCTCCCAAAGACAAGCTAGTTGTATCTAGATTGACCATTGTTTTGTATGAAATAAAACAGAATCAATTCTTTCAATTTTTATTTTAGTTTGGAATGGGGAATACTTGTGTAAAAGGGTAGAAAAGTCAAATATGTTAATACTATTGCACAAGGAAAGAGACTTCGATTGTATGTATTATAACAGATCTTGGTTTTTTTTTTGTAGTATGCGCATCTGATTGACGCCGCCCTTATAGTAGGTATTATCACAATAACTCTGAAGGTCGGCTCTGTTTGTTGATAAAATTGATTTTGATAATTTAGAAAGAGGTTTCATAGAACACTTAGAAGACCCAGCAATATAATTTGTATTAGGACAGTTATGCCCAACTGGTTTTCACAATTTGTTATTATGTTACACTTTATCACGTTTGAGCGATCAAAAAGATCTTTACCCCGACATATGCTAAGTGCACCCGCCCCAAGTCATGAGCCGTCATTCAGTTATTTTGTTGGTTGACGTCGCTCATTTTGAATTGTTCAAGGTTTAATCATAAATCAGGCCATTGTTTTATTCCATTGTTTCAGTATAATGTACAGTATGTCATGTATTTATGAACCAAGGCTAAAAATGCCGGAAAATTAAGAAATAATTCATGGCATCGGTAGATTTGTTTTCCTTTACCCATGGTTTGGGAATCTATGTTTTACTATTTTATGCCGAGCGATAGCGAGGGGTAAAACACGAATATAAATGCCCAACCCATGGTTAAATGAACACTTATCTACAGCTGCCATGAATTATTTCGATTCTTATAGGACAAATACGGTAATTGTGTCAACCGTGAAAGCCCTATTCAAACGATGCTGTTTTGACTGTTCCGTTTTAACACCCATATTTATAAACAGAAAGTTCATTATTTTGTGCCTGAATATTGTAAAAAGTAGTGTTGTCAAATTGGACATATTGAACTAACCGGTTACTCGGATAAAAGAGGGACGAAAGATACCAGAGGGACAGTCAAACTCATAGATCGAAAACAAACTGACAACGCCATGGCCAAAAATAAAAAGACAAACAGACAAATAATAGTACAGATGACATAACATAGAAAACTAAAGACTAAGCAACACGAACCGCACCAAAAACTAGGGGTGATCTCAGGTGCTCCGGAAGGGTAAGCAGATCCTGCTCCACATGTGGCACCCGTCGTGTTGCTTATGTTGCTACAAATCCGGTAAATAGTCTAATTCGGTAAGTCACATTCGTGAAAAAGGAAGGGTATTGTAGTTACGACATAAGGAACATATCCGATATCATCTGTGAAACGGTTATTCCATAACGGTCAACCAACTCGTGATGGCGTCCGTAAAATTTACGAAGGGATGATTTCAACTTCACCATTTGGAACTCTTGGTTTAATAGCTTCCTTGTGAGCAGCAATCCTCTATCAAGGAAATCATGATAGGAAATACAAGCCCGGGAATATTGTATCAATTGGGAGATATATACTCCGTATGCAGCCGCTGCTGGAATGTTGCTACATAGAAATGAAAAGTTCACAATTGGGAAGCTAGCTGAAATCATCTCTTTTGTCGTAAAGTTTTGTTTTCAACCGACCCTCATTGTCAATTTCAAGATGTAAGTCAAGATATGAGACAGAGTTAACTGTATCTGTAGTATCCTTTATCTCTAGTTCGATGGGATAGATTCGTTTAACATAGTCACCAAATTTTGTATTATTTAGTGAGAGAACATCATCTTTATAGCGGAACGTAAAGTTAAAGGATATTGCTAAATTCTTATCTTTCTTCTTAAGAAGTTCCTGTATGAAGTCAGCCTCATAATAATAAAGAAACAAGTCGGCAAGAAGAGGGGCACAATTGGTTCCCATTAGAATTCCGACAGTCTGTTGAAAAACACGTCCTCCAAACGTAACAAATATGTTGTCAATCAAGAAATCAAGCATCTTGATAATGTCAGTTTCAGAGATTTTTTTGTTTGAATCAGAGTGATTCTTTACAAAGTAGGATTTATCCCTCCCCAAGACAAGATACTTGTATCTACGTTCGCCATTATTTTTAATGAAACAAAGTAATACCAACTCTTTCAATTTGTCTTTTAGTTTGGAATGGGGAATACTTGTGTAAAGTGTAGAAAAGTCAAATGTTTTAATACTATTGCAAGATGAGAGAGTCTTAGATAGTATGTACTCTGAAAGATCTTTTTAGAAATTTTTAGTATCCACATCTGATTCACGCCACCTCTAGAATAGGCAGTTTCACAATAACTTTGGAGCCCGGCTTTGATTGCTGATAAGTAGATGTTAATATTTTAGAAAGAGGTTTCGTGGAACACTTGGAAGACCCAGCAATATACCGTTGTTTGTAAGTACACTTATGTAGTTAAGGTATCCAATCTATCGAACGATTAATCGGTTAACCGGTAAGAAAACTAATGTTTAAAGAAAATGTAACAGACGGGTGCCTGGGGAAACAAAATGTGGTCACTTTTTTCTTCTTCCAACCTGCTGTAAAACACTTGCAAACGTGTGGCGTGCTTTTGGCTGTCTGGGATGTACGAATTGTCCTGTCCAAGATTTTTAAGACAATATAACGGAAATATCCCGTTTCAGACCCAACCCTATAACAGACTAAGAGGATGGCAGGTAAACAATTTAACTTTAATTGATATAGAAAATCGTAAATAAAATGTGATAAATTAAAATTCATCCATCTTTTAGTTATATTCGAGAACAATCAATTGGGATATCACCAAATGAGACTTATCTTCGAACTTTTGTTACAGGTGGAGCAAGTTCATCTTACCCCTCCAGAGCACATGAGATCAACCCCGGTTTTTGGTGAGGTTTTGTTTTGCTCAGTCTTTAGTTTACTTTGTAGTGTTTTGTAGACTGTTTGTCTTTTGTCGATTTTACCATGAAGTTATTAGCGGAATGTCTCTTTTATGTGATGTGATTGATACAAATAGAAATGTCGATTTTTTTTTGTCAGTCAGAAGTGTAGTTATTAATGGTATTTGATCAGATTCAATCTAAGCGATGTCAGGCTCACCCATGTTGGGATGTAGGTAACTAACATCATGGACATCCGCTCTCAATTGCTCAACTTTACAGCGGAACGTGAGGTTAAAGGGTTGATACTTGCTACTTTTCATTTTTCTTAAGAAAGCTTCTTTATGAATACAGCCTCAGATGAATAAATGAACCAACTGGTGAGAAGAGGACACAGTTTATTCTCACGAGAATATCGATTGTCTGTTGAGAAACACGTCCCCCAAACGTAACAAATATGTTGTCAATCAAGACATCAAGCATCTTGATAAAGTCAGTTTCAGAGCATTTTGTTTGAATCAGAGTGATTTTTAACAAAGTACGATTTATTTCTCCCAAAGACAAGCTAGTTGTACCTATATTGACCACTTTTTGTATGAAGACCAATTTTTTCAATTTGTATTTTAATTGGGAATTAGGAATTCTTGTGTAAAGTGTAGAAAGTCAAATATGTTGATGCTATTGCACAAGGAAAGAGACTTAGATTGTATGTACTAAAACAGATCTTCGGAATTTTAGTATCCACATCTGATTGACGTCGCCCCTAGAATTGGTATTGTCACATAAACTTTGAAGGTCGGCTTTGATTGCTGATAAATTTGATGTTAATAATTTAGAAAAAAAGGTTTCATGAAACAGCCAGCTATATAATAGTGTGTATTAGGACAGTTATGTCCAACTGGCTTTGATCATTTGTTTTTATGTTTCACTGTCTCACGTTTGAGCGCTCAATCATCAAACAGATATTTGCCCCGACAAATGCTGCCCGGCCCAAGTCACGAGTCGTCATTCAGTCATTTTCGTTTGTTGACGTCGCTCATTTTGTTTTCTTTATTGTTTTACCATAAATCAGGCAATTGTTTTTTTTTTTTAATTGTTTCACATTTATCTTTTCTGATCCTTTTATAATACTACATGATATGGGTGTTCCACGATGTTGAAGGCCGTACCTCTTGTCTTAATAATTGTTAGTTCATGTATGTTTCAGTATAATGTATGTCATGTCTTTATGAACCATAGCTAATAGTGCTGGAAAATGTAATATATGTCTACAAAATGTATAGATTTAAGCAAATGACAAAAGTCTTCTTTAAGCATTAAAAGAGAAACAAAAAATAATCACTCCTATTATACGAAATGTAGATTCTCTTTTCGGAAATTAATCTAAATATAGCTTTGTATAGTCAACAACACAGGACCAGAAACAACATGTTTTACAAATCCTTAAGCTTTTGGAATAAGTCGAGCTTTGGAAAATTATTAGGATTTTTTAATTTATCATTCACATTGTTTGTGATAATCTCAAAGGCTTGACAAAAAATTGTACACTTGATCTTCAACATGTTCAAAGTCCCAACATCTTAAGATTTGTTTTACTTCACCTACATCTTTCTTTAAACAATGATTATTTTATTAAGAACTTTGTTATTAGCAAAATAAGGCGAATGTAGATGACCGATGTTACATACCGATTCTATATGTTTTTTATTCAAATTCTTACGTAGTTTTATTCATTTCAATCTTTAGTTAGCTAGTAAATAGTAACTGGTGTAAACAACTGGCCTTGTCAAAGTATTTGTATGATATGAAAGTTTAATATGAAGAACATACCCCAGATCTATTCACAACCTAATTCGTCCAGTTTGAACACGATTATTTTGATTGTATCATAGTTTTAATTATCACCATGATTAATGTACCTGAGTTTTAAATGCAGATAACAAAGTACTGTAAGTTAAACGGAAACGAAAGCCAATATAACGGAAATACACGTTTCAGACTCAAACCCTATAACAGACTAAGAGGATGGAAGGTAACAAATTTTAACGTTAATTCATATGGAAAATCTTACGTAATTTTTGTACATAAGGATGGGTTGTTTTCCATAAAAAAAGGATGAATATAACAGTAAGTTAGTAAAATATTGTTCGTATTGTTTAAGAATGGATATATTTCTTCTTTTAATCAAAATTAAGCACTGTTGTTCGCAATTTGTCATTTTAATAGCCTTTGGATATTTTTTTTTAATGTGAATAATATAAGGATAAAGCTGCTTAAACTTTTGTATTTTTTGTTATATAAAAGTGCAATGATTTCTTTATTTTAATGAAAGCATAAACCTTCATTGGTTTTTAGTACTTTTTGTGAATCTTGGTTTTCATAAGATAGAATAAATATCAGAGAAAAACATACTAAATACTGTTCGCAATGTTCAGAAATACCAATATTTTTTTTTATATAAACAAATGCACTGTTGTTTGCAATTAATGCCTCTGAATAAGGATAACATAACTTAGAGTTTTGTTTATGCTGAATATGAATGCAATTATTTCTTTATTTTAATAGAAATAATGAACTGCCATTAAAGTTTAGTATTTTTGTACATCCGGATTGATTATTTTTTTCAAAAACATATGATGAATCTCAGAGAAAAGATACTTAAAATGTTGTTCGCATTGTTTAAAAATACCAATATTTCTTCTTTTTATCAAATATAATGCACTGTTGACATCAATCAGTTATCTATAATTGCAATTGGATAAGTTACTTTTTATAAAATTTTAATAATATAAGGATAAAGATATTTAAACTCATCCTTGTTTTGAATAAGAGTGCATTTATTTTTTTTCATTTCATTAAAATATAATTGAAACCATAACCATCATTGGATATATTTATTTTTTATTGGGTTGTTCCCAAAAAAAAAATGATGAATTTTAAGGAAAAATATACCTAATATTTTGTTAGCAATTTTTTATATTATTCCACTATATGTAAATATTGATAGCTAAGCGAACATTTAATTGGTTGAGACCGTCCCATGTGATATTTAACAAAACATCATATTCCCCTCTGAAAATCATATTCCATTGTCATATTCCCCTTATTCGAATTTCTCAAGATTATACTAGAGTTATCTTTCTTTGAACAAAAAATAATAAATTGAAAAGTCTAGAGAGCTTCCGAATATTTTTTGTTTGTAAACAAAAATGGCCAAACGATTTCATGTGGCAGACGACGATGAAATTGAAGAATTGTTACAAAACAAAGATTCACTAAACACAAAAAAAAGTACTGCAGTTGCAGTTAAATGTTTCCGACAATTTCTTGAGGAGAGTGGGAGGGAAAACACAAAATTTGAGGAGTATGAACTTTCAGAACTCGACGTTGCTCTGAAGAGTTTTTATGCTGATGCTCGTAAATATGACGGAAGTTTGTTCAAGAAATCGGCTATTCAAAATGTCAAATATGGATTAAAAAGATACCTACATGAAAAAAGAAACATTGACATAAACAAGGACAATGAATTTACCAAGAGCAATTTGATATTCCAAGCAGTTAAGGTTGATTTAAAGAGCAAGGGCTTTGCTAAAGTTGATCATTATCCTGATATTTACAGAAACTTTACAGTGGTGATACCCCTGTTTTTGACGTCAATACTCCTTATGGTCTCCAGTTCAAAGTTTGGTTTGAGTTAATGCTTTTCCTGTGTAGAAGAGGTCAGGAAAATTAACGTACAATGACCAAAGATACATTTCGTGTGAAAAAAGATGCAAGTGGTATGAAGTATGTTTACCAAAACAAGGATGAACTAGACAAAAATCGTAGGGCCAACACTGATACATCTGACTCAGTTACAGAAGAAAGGATGTACGAGAAGAAAGGTAATTTTCCATCTTGCTATTTCTTATTATTTTTGTGCATATATACATGTATTATAAGACATTTGTAAGAAGATGTGGTATATCCAATGAGACAACTCTCCACTCAGCGACCAAACAAAATAGAAGTTTACAACTATAGGTAACTGTTCGACCATCAACAATGTGCAGAACCCATACTGCAGAATAATCCTTGCTTGGTAGATATATTATTTAGTAACAAAATGTATAAATTTATGAATAGAATAAAAAAACAAATATACTTTATATATGGATTGGCATAAAATACATGAAAAATGCATTATTGCTGAAGAAAAATTACCATACGCGCACAAGAATATTAAGATAAAAACATTAGAACAGATCTTTGACTGCGATTTTTCATCACAAAATCTATAAATTCAATTCAATCATGTCAATTATGATATTTCAAAATAAAGAAATTACAGAAAATTTATTCAAATACATGTATAACTGTCAAAAGATAATTAACATACAGAATCAGTAAAATTACATAAATTTTGTCAGATGGACTCTATTGAAATTGCATTCATTGTAGTTTTAATGTCTAATATGCTTTATTAAATTGCTATCAGAGAGAAAGAAAAAACAAACAAAATCTAGTTTAAATATTTTTATTAAATTTTGCAGGTGATTTGAAATGTCCAGTAGCTTCTTTTGAAAATTATATTTCAAAATTGTGTCCAGATATTGAAGCTTTATGGCAAAGACCAAAAGCATCCTTTGATGTGGGTGAATCTCCATGGTATTGCAAATCTCCTCTTGGGAAAAACACTCTGGCTGGTATGATGTCTGAAATATCTCATATTGCTTTATTGTCTATGACATATACCTACCAGCATCACAGTAATGGATGTAGGAGGGGTAACAGGTCGTCACATAATGAAGGTGTCTGGTCACAGAAGTGAAAATTCATTAAAATCCTACTCAAACCGTGTTAGTGATAAAAAAAGAGGGAAATATCTGATATTTTGAGCAAGGCAATCTCTACAAATAAACAGGAGCATTCATCAGAAATTGAAAATGTAGTTGTTGAAAAAACTTCTGAAGTACTGCAGCCTATTCCACCACAGGAACTTTTAGAACTGTTTTCAAATGATATGGAACTGGAAGAAGTTTATGAAAATGTCTTGAGTAATTTGAATCTAATGCGGGGTTTGAAAACAATTAATAAATCATGTGATATGAAAGACAATCGTACACAACCATTGCAAAAAAGATGCATGAATGTCCAAATGAATAAAACCAATCAGGTTGAGTGTTGTGGGTCAAGAGGATTTTTTTTCTTCGTTCCAAAATTTGAAAACTGTTCTGTTAATGTTACAGTGAACAATTATCAAGCCAACTAAGTGAAGCTTATCCATGGAAAATTTCAAAAATTGTTAAAAATTGTTAAAAAAAACAAAAAAACAATACCTTTTGACACTTTATCACTTTTTTCAATTACTCATGAACATACATGCACATGTGGCAAAAACATTTAATACTCCAGTATTCACATACTTTATTACATGACAATCATACACATGTATTTGTTATAACTTTTTATTTTGTTTTGTTGTTATTGTTGAAATAAAAAGTTGCAGTTATCTTTTATTGTTGTACTATTTTCATTGTTTTCATATTCCATTTCAGGAAGACAAATTAAATGTAGATAGTGGAATAAAACATTCATTTCCCTTGCCTTCAGGAAATATGAAGATTTGTTCACCCTCGAAAAGTCATATTTCCCTCGGACGATGCCCTCGGGAAATATGACTTTTCTCGGGTGAACAAATCTTCATATTTCCCTCAATCAAGGGAAATAAATGTATAGTGTCCCACTTGCATACTTCTTTATTTTATTAAAATTATTCTCCGAAATTTGCAATAATTGATCATTTCATTTCATTTTAAGAGCATTTTCAGAATTTAGTATATTTAACAATCGCAATAAACACCGTTTTAGCACTCATCGGGTTAGAAAAAAAAACCTAATTTAAATAAAAATGACAACCACAATTCTTTAATAATATTTAAATGTTAATATTATCTGCATATTCTCTTCTCTTCTAACAAACGCACAATGTTAATTCTTAAAACTTTGATGAATGATTAATAATAAAATGTCAGGGTTCCGTACTTGAACGATTTGTAATATTCCATGGCGCCATTTTTATTAAATGAAACGAAACTATGATTCCATAATTTGTATTAGTTCAACATGTGATGTAGTAGAGTCCAATCCGTCAGAAAGGTCAATCTGTCCGATCAGTCAATCAATTTGAATGAGGGTATTTCTCAGATCTGAAGAACCTGTTTTGGTTCTTCCTAAAATTGGTTACCAGTACGCTCTTCAAGCATAAAAAGACCACAATTTATGACATTTATTTTCTTTGTCTACCAATATATTTCCCTTATATTTAAAGTGTATTTTTTCTTTATTATTTTCTTTCCCTTTCTCATTCATTTCTATGTTTATGGTATGGAAATGAAAGAAAAACATTGAAATAATCCTTCGATGTTTTATTTTAACTGATAAAAATGCTTGATTTGAAGAATTGAGCATAGCAGGCAATGGGGTCAGGAATTAGTATGCTAACGGTGTTCATTCTTAACCGTAGCGAAAAGCGACAACGGCCTATTCTACCCCCATCTAAATGTTCACCTTAGAAAATCCTCTTTTTCAAAACATTTTGTTTTAAAACAGCGATTTCCGAGGTTAAATTTACAATGCAATACTTAGATTTTTGTAACCAGATTTGTCGTGTGCCCAATAGATTTACAGATTATATTCAATTTCAAAACTGAAATGATTTAATGTGTCTAGATTGGCATGTCAGGTGAAACAAGCATTGCCGGATATGATTATCCTGTTAACTTACCTAGTTTGTATGAATTAATGAATTTACCAATGTTGTCTCTTATTGATTTATCTTGACTCATATTCAAATGTTTTGAACTTAACTTAATATTACACATCCTATGTATATTCCAATCTCGTTTGTTTAAAGTTGAATGTATAAAGTATAAAAACTGTGAAGAACATTATTGTCAACAAAATTATTTTTTTTATTCACAGTGCTTATTTCATTTTTGTAATTACATACACTACAACACCAAACATATCACTTGCTCTTTATCGTTATCTATGTCAGAATATAGTAGGAACAGAAGATCATGTTAAAACAATCAGATTAATGAACATGATGAGAGATAATATGTCAAGTAACAAGTTGAGAACAATAATAACAAGTGGAAGCTTTGGGGAAGGACTTGCAATACGAGGCAGTGATTTAGATGTGATGCATGTATGCAAAACGCTCGAGGTATATGAGGATGTAAAACCTAGCTTTAATCAAGGTTTAACATATTTTTCCATGGAACCAGATGATGTAAAACCTGGTTTTACTCTATTAAACTAGAATATAAAAGAAGTCCGTTTGTCTTTCAATACTGTGAAGAAGATAATGGTAAACTTTATTATTCGAGTGCATTAGATAAACAAAAAATCTTGTTTGGGAGTAATAGAGGCCAGGCAATTCATGGACCATGTACAGTGGATAACACGATCAAGTAGCTCATGGCCGAGTTAAAATGTCAAACAAAGTATTTTAACGCACGGCGAACTTTTTTTACCGACTGGAGTTAAGGGATCACCAAAGGAAGGTCTAGAATGGCGAGTATCTTTTTCAGCGGCTGAGAAATTTCTTATTAATACATTTACTCACACTCAATTACTGTGCTATGCTCTCTTAAAAATTATTTTGAAAGATGTCATAGCATATTATTCTGAATGTAAAGATTTACTATGTTTTTATTTCCTGTAAACAATTATTTTCTGGATATCTGAAGAGCTACCATTATCTGTATGGAAGCCTGATAATCTTATGCATTGTTTTATGCGATGTTTCAGCAGGTTAGTCTATTGTGTCGAGCACTCACTTTGCTTGCATTACTTCATTCCAGAAAACAACATGTTCGAGAACAAAATAGAAGGCCGAGCTCGTGAAGTACTTTTAAAAAAGATACATACCTTGCATAGCTATGGTTGGCGATGCATCTTGTTTTCAGATCAAATATCTAACTTTAATATATCAATGTGGAATTTTCCTATCGAACCATTTACATTATATGTTAAAGATGTTGAGAAAATAGTAACTCCGTGATGATGTTTTGTGCAAATGGTACCTTAACATCTTCTACTAAGTAAGATATGTTAGATATAGGAATAATACAGAAAATATTGTGTCAGCAATCTTCACAAAAGCACTTTTGTGTATTTTACATGTCATTAGTGTGTAATGCACAATCCCAGTGTTTAACACTAGATAGTGCAATTAGTAATAAATCAATACCAATACAAACAGATTAAATCCTGTCTAAGTAATCTGCTAACAAATGTCCATCATGACGCTGTATCTGGATGGCTAATGATAGCTTCGTTTTTTTATAAAACAAAACAATACAGTAAAGCTTTACACATCATCAGGTGTTCTTTATCGAAATGTACCCCTGAAAAACTGTACCGCTGCATGACCATGTCGGATATCCATTACCAATCATTAAAACTGCAATCATTCCACAAGAAGAGTGTTGTTTATCTGCTAAAAATAATGCTTGTAGATAAAATACGATTGAAGATGAATTCAACGTTAATACCAGATGAACTTTTAATGGACGAATGGAATGAAGGATTTTTGTGTCCATCCACAGCGTACGCTTATTTCCTTGGTATTCTTTGTAATTATCATCTCAATAATGTAAGACAATGTCAGGATTCCATTCAAGGGCGACAGCTGGTTATAGAAGAAAATTATTTGATTCCATATCTGAATGGTACAGTGGATGCCTACACTCTTTTAGGAATTGCTTTACAATTATTTGGCGACAAGAAATCCGCACGACAGACATTCTTACAGTCTGTAAAATTATTTCCGAATGCATCGTACAATTCTGCCCCCCGTAGACTTATATTCATGGGTTGAATATGACATCTATGCATTCAGTTGAAATGCGGAAACGATGATGAATATGCATTTTTGTATCTACTAGACAAAATTAAATTAGTTAGAATAGGTTACTGATAAAACAGATGATGGATGTAGATACATTAAACTATAAGTATATAAAGATATAAATATATATCATATGTTTGAACGTTGTTTTCAATTTAGACTTGTATATATGTGTTTTGCATGCACACGTATAAAAATTGCGGTTTTTATCCAATTCAATCATAGGTTTGAACGTTGTTTTCAATTTAGACTTGTTTATATTTTTTCGTTTGGGCTTGTATTATATTTGCCTTCGGGTTTATATAATCCGTTCATCCTATTTCGACTCTTCAAAATTCAAGAGTCAATCCTAAATTGAGGTAAATTATATTGCCTTCCAAATATCGTTTCGATTCCTAACATCACTGAAGAGACATTAATTGTCGAAATCCGGATATGGTGTACAAATTTTTGCACCTCATGTTTGCGGTTTACCATCTCTTCCGCAAGTTTATTGTTTTCTGTTTGGTATCAAATTAATAATAAGATCCATTTTGTTACATCTGGTGATCTGTTTATTTGGCACTCACCATGGCAGTCAGCAGGGTTTATGAACATCCGTTGTTCGACCTGCTAGTCAAATGCGTTTTGTTAAAATATACCTTTTCACTTTTTTGGTCTTTTAGAAAATGTTGTTTGTGCTGTATTTAGACCCCTCTACCAAGAAATTTGTTTCGCATGCACACGTATAAAAATTGCGGTTTTTATCCAACCCAATCATAGGTTTGAACGTTGTTTTCAATTTAGACACGAGCATACTGAAAAAGTTGGAATTTGTTCATGTAGTCACTCGTCTGTACTAAAATGAAGTTTTCTTGGTTCTAGAAAATGTTACAAGAGTTTTCTTTTAACTAAGTACATATAATTTTATTATAATTTAGTAACAATTTAAGCTGCAAGTATCAAATGAGAAAAATGAGATCCATATGTGACACCCGTCGTGTTACTACTATAGCATACGTTGATAAATTATATCAAATGATTGGGAATCACGCAACAGGGAATTGGTGATGGGGCTAACCTTAAGACATCATCAAATTCGTATTCAACCGATAATGTGAATGTTCAAACACTGAAAGTTGACCGAATGTGAAATTTATGAATTAAAACATCTAATTATTGACAAATATAGACAAGACTGTTACCGATATAAATGATTCTAAAATTGAAAAATCAAAATGAACAAGGGCAACACTCAAAACTGACGTAGGAGCAACACGAACACCTTTAAAAATCTAGAGATGCTTTCAGGTGCAACGGAAGGGTAAGCAATTCAAATAACAGTATAATTGTCAACAGTGCCCTTGATTGTTAAATTTCCATATCGAAATGTAACTTGTACTACCATAGGATTGGAAGTTGAAGACCTCTTGTGCCAATTATTTAATTAATTGTCTAGTTATTTTATTTGTGTTTTACTGAAAAAATTAATATGTAAAAAGTAACAACGATATCATCGAAGCTGAATGCATGCATTTGAAATGGAAGGAATTTCTTTCCTTTAGCATATTTAAATGTTGTCACTCATGTAAAAGTATAGTTCGATGTATTCG